CCCTCTAAGCTGCGCATTCCCACGACCAGGAACCCCAGCTCCTCACGATCGACGTCAAAAACCTCCCACCACGCACATTCAGGCATCTTGGCTCCCACCTCGGCGTCCCGTGCCGCACTGTAGATTGCGGCGACCGCTAGCGCGTTAGGCTGATGTGTAAGGTAGAGCATCTGAGGAGAGCAGAGCGCGGTATTTAAATGCGCCATTACCCGGTGCGTGATCTTGGCGCGGGACGTCTCCCCGCAGAAGTCGAGCGCTTGTAGGTAGGTCACCGCGAGGCTATGGGGTAACGCGACGTGCGCGTTGAAGCCGAGCGAGTACAGAATTCGGGCTTCGAGACGAAGGATCCGCGCCTGGAAGGTGCTGTAGGCGCTTTCGGAAAGGTAGTAGGCGGATGAGTCGTGCGGCGTTGGAGAGGAGGGTTGGTCCTTGGAAGGCGGCCTGAAGAGCGTCGAGGCTGGCGACAATAGGTATGCGTATACGTTGCAGATGTCGCGCGGGGGGCACGGATGGGCGCTGAGCTTCGCGACGAGGAAGAGCGAGGCGGCCGAGACGTCCTGCTTCGACTGTTAGCAGTCCGGAGCCTTTTTTTCTCCTCGCTTGCATGCATGCATGCATATATGTATGTATTATGCTGAGAAGCGGAGTTGAGCTGTGTGAGAAGAGAGGGGGATCGTACGCTGAACTCATGAGCGAGAAGCGAATCGACGAGCCAGTACCGCGCTAGCACGACGTTCGCCTGTGCCGTCACGGACTGTGGTAGGCGAAGCAGAAGGCCGGCGGCCTGCGTTAGGCTCTGAGTCGCGAAGAATATCGCATCTTGAAGGTCGGACGGCAGCGCGCCGAACGAGGATGTACGCCGGTATAGCTGGTCGACTGTCGCGAGGGGGTTCGTCATATGCGCCATTGCAGACAATGCCTTTTAAAAGCATTTAACATACGCTTTCTCTTTCTTCCCCGATGTCTAGAGTAGAGATAGTTTACCAACTTTAGGCCGTTCAGTAAAGCAACCATGTTCATGATAATCATTGGCGGGAAGCAAGCTTGACGATTGAGGTGGGAAGCTTGCTGATAAGATAGCGCTAGTGCGCCCGGATTGACCCGCTGAGATAAGGATTAATCCATGAGGTGGGGAATCAATCCCCTGTCCCCCTGTAGATACAGTACATGACATCTCCCGTTGACCTCTCCTTTGTTACTTCCCACCACAAGTGTGGCCAAAGCTCGGGCAGACTTTCGTTTTGTTTTCTGTATGGGTTAGGACATATATTTTTATCAGTTAGCTAACGACTTTGCGAACTCGAGGTCGCATGATACCTCCCACACAAAAGAATACTTGTCTTATAGTATGTTTATTGCAGTAATTAGCGTGTATGAAAGTGGACGCGGGCATTGGTTATCGTCATGTACCGATGTGGTTTGTTGGCTGCAAGTTGGCATCTTGGTGGCCGTTTAAGCCCCTAAGTATAGCAGACTTACCCGACACTAACAGCTTGGACAGCAGCCAATGCCGGTTCATGCTGATTTATCTTCAGATTACTTTCAGTTATAATCTGTGTCCAAATCAGGGTTACAAATAGTGGTTTGAGGAATTGATTTTCCCGGGACAGCAAACGAAAACTATACTTCTATACTGAGAACAAGCTAGATGAGTAAATAGAGTGGTTGAGTTCATACATAAAATTGGTTTAGATATACACATGATAGTGGACGATATAACAGCTAAACAGTAACCCAACCGATAGCACTACCCATCAACAAATATGCCTCCAGAGCTTAGCTCTCTGCCGCAGGACTTTGTCTTTCTGTAATTATCGGCTCGATGGGCGAGCACCACCACAGAAGATCCCCCTTGTTCAAATCTTCCAACAGAGTCTTGTAGTAATCACGTTCTAGATACAAAGTCGATCAGTAGAGTTTGTTGATGCAATTCGAGGCAATGGGTGCGCATTCTCCCAACTTAGGTTCATTTCCAGCTTCATTTAAATTGATCCTAGAGCACCATTCAAATTCATTGAGTCGCTCTCCTAAGCTAGCCAAAAAAAAAAAGGAATGAACTAATACTCGTCACCACGAGCTTCTGCGTACGGAATAGTTATAACTATGTTATTATTCTATTGTAGCTATAGCAAGTGCCCGAGTCCGTGGTGGTACGATTCGGTTAACAGCTTCAGCAGGCATGAGATGGCCAAAGAACAAGATCCCCACAAGCCTGGACTTTCCAGCTAACCAAAACAAGCCTCCCTCCGCTGCCTGATCACTGGCTAGAACTAGAACGTCCTCGGTTTTAGAGTTGCGTAGACACGGAGGGAGTTATACTGTTGTCTAGCTGTGGTCGCCTTTCCGATCTAGTAACCTTCTTTGTCTTTGAGATCCAATATCTAGTCTGCCAGTACTCTGAGGAACGTGCACAAACCAGTACAGCGGTGTCCCGTACGCGAATCACTCAAATCAAAGGTATTCCATGCTCCCAGTGGGAGCGTCCAGTCATTATGATAGCCTTTCATCACTTATTCAAGATGTAGAAACGTAGTGTGAATCTCCCGAAGGGATTTGTTGAGATTTCGTTCAATAACAACTAAGCCATGGTGAGAAGAAGTCTTTTCAGTTTGAAATGATAAGTTAATATCATGTTCACCAGGCGGATGTTCTTAATAGAGCAACATTTTAAGGAATAGAAGAGTAATATTGGTTCCTTGAGCGAGAGTACGGGATGGAGAAATTAAATGTATTCCTTTTCGGCGATATACAAGACGCCCTTGTACATGGTGGTGGCCAGCACAAGATATACATAATCCTTTGCAGCCAAACAAAAGACCTCGGTGGTGGGTGCTGCGACATCACTTATTTATGGCTGGGTGTCTGTCTCTAGCGTTTGAATGGTCTCGTTCATGTCGTAGAGCAATTACCTTGGGTTTACTCTAAATTAGTGCTCTCCTAGCCCGTGAATCTGAGAATGATTGTCCTACTTTTAAAACGGTTTGTGTAATTACCTATATTGGGCAGAAATACGCGAAGTTTGGGTTACGCTTCAAGGACGTTATAGCCTTTTTGCTTTTGATTTCCTATATTTTGTATGTCTGCAAAACGATAGAGTTGTTAAGTGTATGATATTTCAAAGCCTGTAAATTTCAGAAAAGTGCTAGATGCTGGATGTTGGATGGGTGGTAAAAGCTGGCAAAGATGCTACACCATGCTAACGCTTCAAAAATATATCTGCTCGGCTGGTCTGAAGAAGCAAGAGCAGCTGCAATTCTCGACATAACTCCTCTAGCGCCGCCCCCGGACGTGTCTCCTCGTACGATACCTAGCCACGACACATTTCTATTCATACGTATTGAATTGTCCGACCTGCAGAGCGCCAAGGAAGTAGCCTAGTTCTTCTGAAGAGTGAAAACCGACTGGATGTTATCTGGCATAATGCAGCTATCTTGCTTGTGCTACAGGCAGCCTAAGTTAGTAAGGTTATGAACTAGCATTTGCTACGAATGTCCTAGGACTGCTCTTTTTGTAATGATTTGCAACGCTCATTCTTCTCAAAACAGCTAGACGATCTGATGTACCGAAAGGCTCGGTGCGGACCTGCTGGGCCAGAAATGGCGACTCGGTGGCACCCCCTGGAGATGGCATCGTGTGGAACGACGGGGCCTTAGAAGGCCCTGGATACTCCAGGTTCAACGCGAGAAAGCGACAATATATGCAAGTAAGGCTGCTAATGCAATCCTAGTACAGTTAATAGTACTGTTAATATGAATTTCACCAAGCATACACCAAGGATCATAGCAAAGTTCATAAGCCCATGACTTCTCGTTTCGGAGCGCTGGCAGAAGTTTACCGGTTTGCAGAGGAGGTAGCCAAAGCTAATTAGAGCTTCGTTGTTCCCTTTGGCTATATTGAAAAGACCTATCCGATCGTAAAAGATGGCATTCGCAGCACAATGTGCCGGGAAGATGTGGAATATGTGTGAAACCCTAATAGAAGCGTTCTATTGGCCGTTAACAATCGATGTAGAAAGTTTCTAGTGTGCGAAATTCCTCATTTAAAAGGGCGCTATACGAGGCGGAGAATTCCAGTATCAAGCTTATCAGAAAAGTACCAATGGTAGAGCTCAATCAAGTCGAGCTTAGTTACAATGATAATCCTTATGACTTACAAGCACTGGTATTATCACCGCCCTTGCTCGAGATTTTGCATCGCTTCCCCTCTAGAAGGCCTAAAAAGTAGCAAGGACTAATGTAATGTTAAGCAAAGGTTAGGCCGGAGCTAGAAAGATGTTGTTGCAATCGGAGAGCACTCGTGCACAGTCACCGGTCAAGTTCTCTTTGGAATCACACCCAGATATTCATTCCTCGGCTAGAAATCCTGCCAATCGGCAGGAGAAAGAAGTTAGTGAGAGAGTTTGTACCTTTGCGCCCCTTGGTGTCCATTAACCGAAAGGCGCGTTGGTTTTGTGGCCCGCTCACAACATAACCAGTCTCTGCCGCTCTTTCTTCAGACCATATTTGAAAAAAATATAGTTGAGAAGCCTGTGTACTTATACACAAGATCATGTTTGCTTCGGCTATTTAAAGCCGTTTACACGATGATCCTATAATGTTCATACTAAAGTCTTATAATTATAATTCGGTTATTAAAATTTTTCGTGAGCCTTTTTACAAGCTTATTACGATTTGAATACCTTTACATTAATGCTATAGCTGACATCAAAGCAAAAGGCCTCTTTGTACAAAAACTACACCGCATTCGAGAAGAAAAAACGAAAGTGCTTTGTTAAACGATAAGACGAATACCATATTGAAAAGCGCTCTACACATTACTTCATCTGTCGGTCGGTCGAAGGCCCCTCCAATGCGATAAGTAATAATAACACTAGCGTGAAAAGGTCTTATAGGCCACTACCTGCTCCTAGCCATCAGTGGATTTGATATTTCAAGGCCGCACCACAAAAAAGTAATTGGTACGACTTCTGTCAACTCAAAAATATAAGCCTCGAAGCTTACTGGCGATAGAGGGAATCGAACCCTCGTCTGCGCGGCGTTGCGGGCAGAAAACTGCAGACCCCACAACGCGCCGTACTAACCACTATACTATATCACCTAGTTGCGTAACTTGACTTACATTTTCCGGCCGGACATATATGAGGTCAAATACTAAAAGCAGGAGTCACGGGTGATTGAATGCGTTACTAAAATTTCATTGTAAATTATGCTAGAGTATCTCAGGTTTTAACAAACCCTTAAACTCTTCAGTAACTCTGGGGGTTTCTCATTCTTGCGATAATAATACCTAAGATACGCACAAAATTGTGCATTGCATTCGGCCTAAGGGATATGGAGATCCGTAAGGTTCAATTGAGTTTTGGTTAATAGCAGCCTCGAAATAGACTACTTGCGTAGATTTCGTATACTGCTTAGTTAATATCAAGATCCACTAGTCTTACCATGCTGTGTAATGCCGTCTTCAAAACAAGTCATTTAAAGTTGGCGAGTAATGCTCGCTATATACTTGCACATCTTGATAGTTAGCACTTTAGGGCCAGATATCTAGTTTATGCAGAAAATGCTCACAAGAGAGCACCATGGCCGGCTTTAGTACGCCAAAGGGAAGTGATATACCCGTTATAAACACCATTATTGAATAAATAGACACTGTAAGTGGGAATTGTAGTGTTTATTCCATGAGTCTCAGCCCGCATTTGAAATGATTTTCATTGAGCATTTTTGTAGTAAATCACCTGTATTAAACAGTTACACTTCATGAAATGATAGCCGAAGATTTGCTGGTTACCATGACATAGAAGCTTGATTTACTCTCTCATTGTTATTAGTTCTATATGATTATACGCAACATCAAAATATTGTGGTTTGATGAACCATTTTTAATAAGTATCTGACGTTGCCCTTTTAACCGTCACATTGTGAACTTAATCATTATGAACTAAATCAACCAATCATGAGTTGATCCATCCTGCCGGAACAACAACCACTTTATAAATTAGAGCATACCCTAAGTATATCTACTACCTAGTGGTATTTATATCTGTGCTTGTAAGACACATGTGCTAGGCTCAGGATGAGGTGTGTGCTAGTATATATTGTACTCCTAATAGTGTATTGATATAATATCTACAACATCAATACGGCGGCACATTAATTATTCCGTCAAGCCGTGTATCTATCTTAGAGAGAAATTAGCCACTAACGTATAGCTTTACTATAGCGATGCAGCAGCATCTAGACATCGAGCTCACCGAGTCATCGTGTCATCGCGTCATCGCGTCATCGCGTCATCGCGTCATCGCGTCATCGCGTCATCGCTTTGTACCAAGGAGTGTTACAAAAGTGTACTGTTAACCTTGCAGGTTTGCTAATATAATAGGTCGCTTATATCGAAACTGGCCAAGATCGTGAGGACATGATCATTCGGGATGACTAAGGTATCACCGACTTGACCTAGCCTTTTCCTAGAAGGAATGGGTAAGAGTTTAAATCATAGAGGGGCAGTCCGAGGACCTTTTTATGTGCTTGTGTCTAGTTGATCGTGAATCATTGTGAGTTATAGAAATAACCCTATGCAGTAGAGTCCGACTGGCCAATTACCTACTTGTTACTGTCGGTTGTGACAAGTAGACCAGGCTCAAATTCGATAGAGAAAACTATGTAACAATACCTAAGCGGTCTCGGATATATAGTTTGGGGATGAGCCGCGCAGTAGCACTATCCAGCTTATCGAGAGCCGTTACTTCACTATCTTCCCAGATGGTCGCCTTACGATGTCATTCAACTAAGCGTTGTCTTTCAGATTTTCGAAGTTTGCTTTGACACAAAGTCTCGATTAAACAATCGCTTATCAGAATCTAAACAAAACACTTCTAAAGGTTTAAAGACAATAAGAATGCCTTTAAGCCTACCCTTTCATTGCTATAATTATTCTCAAGAATCTTTATGTTCAAACTTCTATACTTAATCTCCCCGGTTAAGACCTAATTTTTAGGTTTCTTGCAAAATTTAAGTTAAATTTCATCGCATGCTCACATTTCCGAACTACTCATTGCACTCCTTCCAATCCCGCAAAAAAACTTGTCGATACTATCAACGAGAATAACAAATTTATCTAGATTAACGCCATGTGTAAAGGGTCAAAAATCGAGATGGCATGTGGCCACGTGGAAACGCACTTCTCCTCGCTGTGCGGGCGGAAGTGTTCCAGTCCGCAGGGCCCAACAACATACCTCGATACGCCGTGTCCACGCTGCGACCCCGAGAACATCAAGAAGAAGCACGAAGATAGAGCCGCTGAACTAATGACCCAGCTGATGGGTTCTAGGCATGCCGAGGGTGCAGTCAAGGTAACAAAACTAACCGAGCGCATGAAGGAGTTGAACCTAAGTGCGCACCGCGGCGTAGCCGAGGCGAAGTACTTGATGCACGGGGCACCTTCATCACCGCAGGCCGACGCCTACAGTGGGCACTCGTGGAATGGAAAAAATCGAAATAGCAGAGCGCCTTGGGATCCGGATTCAGACTCGGAATCTGATGATGGGAGACGAGATACTTCACATCTGACGGAAGACGGTAAGCACGTAATCCAAAAGCAGTACAAGTTGATCAATGGCCACTGGGCGTTGATTACGTTCCGCAGAGAGCTTGACGAGGTGGAGCCGCTGTTGCTGATCAAGCTCCAGGAGAAGCGTGAGAAAGCCCTAGCGATGTCCGAGGCGAAGAAGAAGAAACGGGAGGAGAGAAAACGGGCAAAGAACGGCGAAAGGTGCGCTGAAGAACTCAAAAAAGAGGCTGAGCTAGAGAAGGCGATCAGGGAGGAAGAGGAAATGCCGCCCTGGAGGCCAACGGGCCCTGCTCTAAGCGAGAAGAACACCGAGCTGACAAAGCCCATGGACCCCGAGCCACGGAAGACCTTGTCGATGAAAAAGCGCCAAACTAGGTCGCAGGAACTGCTTGAAGAAGTGAAGAAAAGGATACACGAGGAGCCCTATGAAGAGCCCTCCCCACCCCCTTCGCCTCCCCTAATTGCAGAGATAATCCGAAAAGCCAGTCTGACCCAGCGTCCGTCAGCCATCGCTCCCAAGCCTTGGCGAAAGAATAGTCGGCAGGCGCAAATATCATCATCATCGCCCTCTTCGTCGGGATCCTGCAACACGAGAGTACAGCGCGACGAGCCCCGCCCTCCCATGAGACAGAGCGGAGGCCAAGCTCTAGAGCAGCGGCGCGAACCAATACAAGAGGAAGAGCAAGCTCAATACCATCTAGCCGAGGGCCCGGCGGCGCCCGCGCGTCGGTATCTTCTCAGAAAGAACGGCCATGCTTCGTGGGTGGAGAAGTATGCCGAGGATATAACTTACGCCTCTAGTGATTCCGAAAGTGATGCCTCAATTCACAGAGCCCCTGAACTCCAGTCCAGTTGGAAAGGTAGCAAAGGTAGGAGTCCCGGTCAGAGTAATGTCGTCGAGAACGAAAAAGACCTGGATATCTGGCAAAGGATTTCCGATCAGAGTGATAAAGGTAAGGCGCCGCTTCACAGGGGCAAATCTAATCGTCTGCCTAGCCGTGGACCTAATAAGCAGTAAGCTGAACTAGAGACATACCAAGCAGCAACAGCCCTTTCTCGCAACCAATAATACTTTTTTCTTTCCTCTCTTGAAGTTCTTGATAGTGTGATTTATTAGCATTTATGTATTCGTCTCGTAGTGAACACCAAAATATTCCACATTAGTATTCTAATGTTGTCCACCCAGTGTAAACCCTTCTGGGAGTTCAGTATGTCCTAATCTCTGTGCAACATCCATCGGACTGGCAGTAGCATCCTGCTTATTACCATCTCCTCCACCTTCTCTGGAGTCCTGGATATCCTTCTTTGCCTTGTTGTACTCTTTGATACGCGCAGTCGCCAACCTTCCTGGTCTGCGGCGGTCTGTCGGGCACCTCAGGAGCGGGACTTGGATGATAGCCGCGAAGACATCGAAAACCTTACCTACTGGCACGTTATGTCTCTTTGCGACTTCGTCGAATGGGAACCTCTCTTGGCAAGTCTCTGCCACGTCTACTATTAGATTAGGCGAGTGCTTGCGGTATGTAGGCTGTATGAGAGAGGCGGGCGGCTTTACCGGACTTGAGGTCACGCTGGGCTCAGTTACCATGTTCTTTGGATTATTTGTCAAGGGCGATAGTTTTGAAGTGCTGGGCTGCTCAGCAGTGGGTTGTTTATCTTTATCAGCTCCATTTTGCTGCTGGGCAGTCACTTGTGGTGCTTGAGGCTGTGTTTGAGAGGGCAGTGCCGCAAATGGGCTGCCGTTGATTGGCATCATCATTGGTGCAAAGCCCGGCCCATATGGATGCAGGTTGCTTGTAGGCATAGCCATCACCTGCGGATGCAAGTGCTGGCCATAAGACTGCTGGCAGTGCAATTGTGGCATGAAGTGAGGATGTACAGCTCCATGCATGAAAGGTATACCTTGCGCTCGTGAGATTTCGGCTTGCTGTCTAAGCCGAGAACAGATTTGACATGGATGCTTCTGTGTATGAGTTTGGCCGTTATGGTGATGACTATTCCCTGAAGGGCAAAGGCTGCTTCTTGTGGGGGACGTATGTTGGGAAGACTTAGGGCATGGCATGGGAGGAGGCATAGCTGTATTCTTCAAATTAGTCGGCTGGGCAAGCTCAGCCGGGGTTGGTGTACCAGGGCTTTTTGTATTGACAGTTGACTCTAAAGCATGCGGGTTACTGGCAATGGGTACGGTCTTGATCATAGCCAGTGTCTCTCTTGGCTTCTCAGCTCGGCAGCGGTTTTCGTTCGAGCTTGGACAAGCTGTGGGATGGTTCACTGCTAGATGGAAGTCGAGCCCTTCAGATCGATGCTGACCAGTATGGACATTGAGCATCGCTGGTGATATTGTGGATGGAAGCTGCTTCGGCGACAGCTCGGGAGGGCTTGAGGGTCGAGGCTTGCGAGCAGGCTGGTCGAGCACAAAGTTCTCCAACACAGGCATAGAGACTCCTCTCAGCGCATAAGTCAGCTCCATTGCGTGGAGATCTGATGGTAGACCGACCATTCCTGTACTTAGTCGCCTCTCTGTCTCGTTT